GGCCATTCAGCTTTTAATTAGACCAGTCGGGTGTCTTAGACAGGCAAGGTAAAACAGCAACACATCTTTACATAGTTAAACAAATATTCTGCACTATAATAAACAAATGCAACGCATCTCTGCATAGTTAAACAAATGCTCCACACCAGCGTGTTTCCCAGGAACAGTAACAAAAGCTGTTGCTTTGGAGCAGCTCAGTGATAAAACATCAACGATTTGCCTGAAGTTCTGGGCAGCATTTTAAATACCATAATTTTATGCTTCTTAGGATCTGTGATGAAATGGAACCTAATATGGATTCTACTGTGTCCTGATGCTACCTGCTCTGCTTTCACCTCCAAAGAAGGCACACAAAGTAATGACTTCATAGGCTTTTACTATGCAGAATCACTGATAAAATGACTCAAGAAAGCAGCAGGAACCCCCAGTCAGAGAGAAGCTAGACAAGGAACAAAAGCAATCCCAAATGAGCAACCTATTTGCCATACTGTTGAATAAGTAATCTCTCCAACGAGAGGCCCACTGGGCGTTTTGACTCTTATAGAGATAGAATTATATTCTGTTTAGCCGTAGTAGGAGGAAAAAAAATCTTGGTATTTTTCTGAAACAAGGAACCTTTCTTAGGTGACTTGGAGAACTTGATTAACTTGTAGAACATCTTATTCCCTCACTTATGTTTAGGGTGGGCGGAAAGAGAAAGGCTGTAATGAAAACTCAATTCTTCATTATGCCCGTGGAGCTTGAGCCGTTGGAAAGATGATTCCCGAGGAGGCAGGAGCGACCGCAGACATCCTCCCGCAGGGCACTGCCCCGGCCCTCCCTCTCACACCAGCCCTTTGTGTGCCCCACAGCTCCAGGTGCTGTGCAGGGAATGTTAATGTCAGAAACCCAGGACTTGGAGCCAAACCCAGGCTTCGGTTTGCAGTGTGTCCTGTGTGAGCGCATTGGCAGATTTACAAGGGGCCTGTAGCCCTTTTCCCTTTAGGGAGGAAAATGTGCGCCCATGCTGGGATATAGTTGTGGCCTTTGTAAATATGAGAATGGTAAAAATTAAAGCGGGAGGAGGGGGGAGCCCAAACCCCCTCTAGATCTGCTGTAGATGGGGAACCTCAGTGAACTTACAGGGCTTGCTCCAGGCATTACCGACTTCATGAGAAGGCAGAGCCTCAGTTAAACGAAACTGGGAGACAAACACAGCAGTTCTTCTAACTGCTTAGGAATTTTAGTATTAGCCCATATTGCCAGTTAAATATGTTAATTCCCTACAAAATCTTATGGTATTTTTCTTAGCTAGACCAGCTCATTTTCTTTCATTTTATTTATTTATTTTCCTCAAAAGTGCTTCGCAGGAAAGCACAGAAGTCTGTGCAGTGTGCTCGGTGGCGGCTATCCCAGGATCATAAACCCGTAACCCCATATCCTGTGTCACGCCTCTCACCTAATCCGCTCTCAGCTGCCTCTGGGTATTGCAGATGGATCTTGCCAGGCCTGGGTTACCTTTCATCGTGGGGCTCTCCATCTGGCCCTGTATCTGGTTCTGTTTACCTTTTTCTGGAACTAAAGCCGCGCTGACCCTCACAGAAGGAGGAGCCTGAAATCTCCTGAATTAGGGTGTGCTGTAGTGAGGAGGGGGCTCCTCCCCTTTGCCAGCATTTCTTTTGTGCATCGACCGACGCTACCCTCATTTGCAGAATGCTGCCTTGTGGGCGGCGCAGGTGTTCCGCTTAGATAGACGGGCAGCAGGACGGGTGCTAAGCAAAGGGCGGGAAACCTGCTTCTTTTCCTTGGGAAGTTTCACACGTCTCTGCCTAAGAACAGAACTCCATGCCCTTTCTGCACCGACATCTCTGTTATTGTTTGTGCTAGGAATCATTAAACTTCTGTCCTTAAAATTAAGTCTCCAAACCTTGGCAACCTTCTTCACATTGTTTTCTTCATGGGAAGTGCCATTTCCTGAGTCTTCATGTGCATGGCTGGCACTGAGACATTTTCTAAGGGGAACATCCTCTATCCTTTGGCAACATAGACCCCCCCCCAAAAAAAATCACATTTTTAGGCATAAAGCGGAAACTTCTTCCTCAGTCACACAACAGTTTTGTCACCATATTTTTCTTTCTTTTTTCCAACGTGTGGCATTTGTAGCTCTCTGTCCTTGCCTCAAGCTATTTGCAAAAGCCTTGTGTCTTTCTGTTGCTGTTAGAAGACATTGAACGCACATACCTCTAGGTGTCAGTAAATACCAAGTCCTGTAAGCCGTGCCCCCTACACATGTGCAACCCCCACGTCCTAGCTCCAGCTGTCTTTCCTGTCCTCTGTTCAGCATCTCCTTCCTTCGCTCTGTCACTCTGCTCCCTTGCCACACAGAGTGGACAGGGAGGAATCCGAAGTCCCCCGAAACTGTGAGAGCTGAGAGCCCCAGGCAGCTCGTGTAAAGAGCTGTTGGCTCCTCAGCCTGGTCTTGCCAATGTGGGCTTGACCACTGACCACAGAGACATCTCAGGGAAGCCTTGCAGGGCCCTGGACCTCGGTGTTTGGAAGTGGCGCTGAGGACAGTTCCCATATTCGACTGACTGCGTGACTGAGATGGACCTGGAAGTTGCTTCCCTGCCTTCCCATGGTTTGCACTTCTCTCCTAGGAGCCGACATCCGCACCGCCAGGACCCAAGACGCTGGGCTCGTGCTGGCAGATACCCTCCGACAGTTCCTATTTGACCTAAATGTTGATGATGGTCTCAGTGCCCTTGGCTACTCCAAGGATGACATCCCTTCCTTGGTGAAAGGGACACTGCCCCAGGTAAGATGCACAAGGTGGCCTTTGTGTCTGCTGAGCACAGAGCTGGAGGGAACAACACCCATCTGCTAGTGACCTTGCAACACCCCTCACAGCCCTAGAGAACCTTTAGTGTAAAAGTAGCCTGGCCCCTCCCTATGTCTGTGTGTTCCTTCATGTGGCAAACTGAAAGGATCCTTTATGAAAACCCAAGATGCAAACTGCCAAACTGACTTGATCTATGGAAACCCCTCCCCCTCCCACACTTCTGCAGTTTCGGGAGTTCCCTCTAAGACGGTGCAAAGCCATTCCAAAAGGACCGCCGATGTTATTTTCCAGGATAAATCACAAACCCCTACTGTTCCGTAGAATGTAAGCTTAGCTCTTAAGTTGGAACTATTGCAAGTTTGCATTTGAGTCATTCGGGTAAATTGTATATTTCGTACACATCTATGTCCCTCTATACCTTATTTCATTTATTTGAATTTTGCTAAAGAATATAAACTAAATTACTCATGTTTATAAAGTCGAATCATTGCAGATATAAAGCTCCCTCTCCCGAGAACCACATGAAGATGTGATCTCTATTTAGACCTCTCTGGACCTCGTACTCCAGGTCGTCATGGACCAAGATCCTCATTTATTGCAATGTAGTATAAAGTAGGCGCTCAGACCCACAAGCACTGAGTCAATGGACTATGCCCTGCTTACCCCACCCAGCCACTCCCTGAGTCCTCCCAGTCAATACGTAAAAGCAGGAAAACAGGGATCACCATGGGGCTCTTTTTTCCAGTGCTCATCATTCTCAGGTCCCTCCCCGGCTCTGGGGCAGCCAACAGCTAGGAAATCTATCTATACATGCAGCAGCCCACTGACCACAAGCAGCGGTGCCTTTTCCTCATCCACTCCAGGAAAGCAAGGACTCAAACTAGCCCCATCTTCCCCGGCCCATCAGTGTCCAGACTGTTGATAACCTCATCATTCACAGAAGACGTTTGGACAGTTTGAGCTCACGGTTCCTATGCCCACAGGAGCAATGAACTAAGTAATTCGAGACAACAGAATGCAGGGAGCCTCAGTAAACCGGAAACACGTCCCATCTAATGGGATGAACAACCTTTACCTACAATTATTACCATTAAGTATAAATTTAGATTCCCGTGTGGGTAGACTTTTAAGAGGGTGCTCCTTGCTCCCACTTTCTTGACTTCTCAGCATACTGGTGAGTTATTGCCCGTGGGCCACTGGTTTCCCTGACTTAGCTTCAAGCCCAGTGGATCCAGTTGCATCAACCATGTAAACGAGTGAGAAGCACAACTGTCTTGAGTTATAGCATAGGTGCTGAGCCAACCGGCAAATCCATAGCTCTAACCTGTTGAGCCACAATGTAGGATGTTGTAAGGCCGTTGTAGCTGTGCTAGCCAAGCCTACGACAGATGAGGGCAGGATGAGGGCAGGGCTCTGCTTGGCTCCTCCATCCTCGGCTACACCCAGCCCGGTAGACATGGCCAACAAACTCCTACCTGAGCTTCTCGTCGAAAGCCTCTGTCTGGGTGAACGAGTGGTTTGGTGGCGGTAACTATAGCTAGGTGTTTCCTAAGACTGAGGAAAACAAAGACAGCCTTGAAAACTTGTCCAGGAATCCCACAGGGGCCACCATGATTTCAGTGTGACTTCTGGCTTTCCAGCATTATCTCAGGGATGCTGTCTTTTCTGTTTATCCCAGGACTGTGTTCACGAATCCAGCTTTGTAAGGCCAGTGAGGTGATTCAGCAGGTAAAGGTGTTTGCTGCTAAACCTGAATGACCTGAGTCAGTTTCTAGGACCCACATGGTAGAGGGAACTGAATGCCACAAGTTGTCCCCTGACCACCACACACGTGCCATGGTGCACACATATACATGTAATAAATAATAATATGATTTTAGAAAAAAATAAAAGAATATGAATTTGCTTACTTCCAAGAATTATTATGCTGGTTAGTTTTCCCATGGAAAGGGAAATCCCAAATGAAGAATTGCTTCCACCAGAGTGACCTATGCTCCTGTCTGAAGGGCTTATGTTCTTAATGATGTGGGGGCCCATCCCACTGGGAGTGGCGTTACCCCACTGTGTATAAGAAAGGAAGCTGGGCAAGCCCCCCCGAGAGCAGGCCAGTAGGCAGCGCTCCACTGTTCTCCGCTTCAGCTTCCATCTTGACTTCTCTTGATGATAAACTATAAACCGAGAAACCAAACAAACCCTTTCCTCCCCAAGTTGCTTTTTGGTTGTGGTGTTTATCACAGCAACGGAAACCAGAAATCGGTACCAGAGAGTGTGGTATTGTGGTGATGGGCGTGACCGTATTGTTATGGGAGAATTATGGAAGGCTTTGGAAGGTTTGGGCTTGAAAAGGCCACCCAGTGATGAGAGCTTAAGAAGCTGTTATGGGAGCCTGGGAGAAAGCAATGTTATAGAGGCGCCGAGGGCCAAGGCCTGAGAAGACTGAGAATCCCTCAAAGACGATTGCACCATTTAGTTGGTATTTTGAATTAAGAATCGGTGGTTTCTGGTCAGCTGTGATTAATAGACCGGCACCACCGAAGTGAAACCTTTGCTTTATTGAGATAATTGATTCTGGTCAGCTGGGCCTAAAGAATTGGCAGTCCCTGAGAGATCCCCTGAGTAGTTCCTCGGGGTCAGCACACAGAAGCTGTGGTGGTGGTGGGTGGGGGAGGCTGCATCTCAAGCTGGTAGCCAAACTTGGGAATGCGTGAGTCTCCCACGTGGTATTGGTTTTGGCAGCATGAAAGCAAGCCAGAGAACAGCGTTTCTCTGCGGTCTCTGCTTCAGCTCCTGCCTCCAGGTTCCTGCCTTGAGTCCCTGCCCTGGGCCCTCAGTTTTCGACTGTGAACTGGGCAGCTGTTAGAGGAAATCAGCCCCTTCCTCCCCTGAGCTGGTTTTGGTCAATGTTTTATCACAGCCATAGAGAGCCCTCACTAGAACAGAAATAACCTGCAGATGAAGCCCTGCTGTGGGGGTTTTCATTTTGGTTTTTGGCAGCAGTGAGTGTCTTACAGGAATGCCATGGCAACCTCAGAATTTTCACATACAGAGGACCAGTCTTCACTCATTAGTATCTACCAGATTTAAGGTAGTATGCTATACTGACCCCTGCAAAGAGTCTTGCCAGAAAGTTTGTTTTATAGAGTCCGTGTGTGATAAAAGACTCTTTCATGTTTGGTAGCCAGGGGTCAGTGTTCTCTCCAACGAGCGAGCAGGCCCGTTTTCTTAACCAAACACACAGCCTGTGCTAGTGGCAGCGAATGGCAGCCCTGCCTGCAGAGGCTTCCAGCTGCATGGCCCAGCTGCAGAGGGAATGGGCAAGAGCAAAGTCATCTTTGGAGTTCGATTTCTGAAACCTCCGGAAAGAAACATTGGCATTTCAAGTCAAAACATTTCGTTACTGGGGAGAAGCGCCGCCCAAGCGAGCACTCCCACTCTTGATAGGCAGACCAGCTGAAATGGTGTCATCTTATGAGTGTGCTAAACATGGAGTCTTTATTTCAGTGCCCCTGTTAATCAGTTGTTCTTTGGCCTTCGTGTCTGTAAATAATAGCACATTGCTCAATGCATCTTCATTCTGAAGCCATTTGACTTTTATATGGCATAGGATCAAACACGTTGTCTCTCGCTGTATTTGCCCAATCACTGGGGCTGGCAGTGTGAAAGAGAAAGCTAGCAGAGGCGTGGCTAAGCCACTCCTGAAAGTCCAGAACCGCCTCCCCAGAGAGGAACAGGTCCTGGCAAAAGGCTCTGAGCTCATCAGAGGACTCCTCCTTGTTATAACAAAATGTTGTGGAAACCGTTGCTGTCATCACCATCGTCTCTGGCCACAGCACAGACTGAAAGCCAGCTCTTCATCCTGCCACAAACTAGACAGACAGACAGATAGATGGATAGATAAGCAAGCAGATAGATTATTTGTAGATGATAGGTAGATTGATTATAAATAAATAGGTGATTGATTGCAAATAAGTATAGGTGATAAATATTCAAGTAGATGGATAGATATATAGACAGACAGACAGACAGGTAGATAGGATAGACAAGGATAAATGATAGATTGATAAATAACTATTAAAAAGATCTGCTAGAATATAAAAATTTTGCCTTTGTCTCTTGCATATTCAACAGCATTCCTGCCCACTCTCTCTAAGATGTCATCCATCCTTCTTTCTCATTTTTATTTTTAATTGTAGTTAATTAACATTAATTTATCTTTTTTAATAACTTTTATGCATATAGTTCAATGGTATTTAATATATCCACAGTGCTATATAAAAAACACTCTCCACTGCAGAACTTTTTTAACATCCCAAATAGCTCTCTCTCCACTGAACAGCTGCCCTATTACCTTTCTCACAGGCCCTAGTAACCTAAGATCTCCCCGCCCCCCCCACCCCCGTCTTCAAAAGTGCCTGGGCTAGGTGCCTCATACACAAGGAATTATACACTGTCAGTCCTTCTGTGACCGGTTTATTTTACCTTGATGTGTTGACCAATGTAGCATGTGTCAGAATGCTGTTCCTGTTTATGAGTAAACCACATCTTGTTGCTCCATTCCATGCCTGTATTAGGCCCTTTTGTTTCCACCTTCTGACTGTTTTGAACACTGGTAATACAAGCATATTATCTTAGTTAGGGTTTTAGTGCTGGGAAGAGACTCCATGATAAACGAAAACATTTAGCTGGGGCAGGCTTACAATTTCAGAGGTGCCGTTCATTATCATTATGATAGGGAGCATGGTGGCACACGGGCAGGCGCGGTCCTGGAGAGGGAGCTGAGAGTTCTACATCTGGATCCGAAGGTCTAGCTTGAGAGGCTGAGATCTCAAAGCCTGCTGCACCCTGGTAACACACCTCCTCCAACAAAGTCACACCTCCTAATAGTGCCACTCCCTCAGAGCCCACACAGGCCATTTTTATTCAAACCGCCACCTACATTTGCATCCCTGCTTTCAGTTTTTTGGAGTAAGTATCTGTGAGTAGAACAGTTCATTCCTGCGGTAATTTTATTGGTGTTTGTTAGAGACAGGTTCTCACTCTGTAACCCAGGCTGGCTGTGACCATCCCCACTTTCACTACCAGAGTGTGGAGATTGCTACCAGGTGCTACCAATTTCAGTCCAGTTTTTAGCTTCCTGATGCACTGGGAAACTTTTCCATTCCATTTACATTTCTATTAAGCAGCACAAAGGGCTCCAATTCTCTTCATCTTCTCCAGAACTTGTTAGTTTCCATTATTTTTATGATCATCCAGTGGTGTGCAGTGGTGCCTCGGTGAGAGTTAGATTTGCACACCCCTAAAGGCTAAGAACACTTACCATCTTGTCCTTGGCTTATTGACTATGTGTTTTTCTATGGAGAAATATCTATTCAAGACTTTGGCTGATTTTTGGATTGCTCCCTTTGGTGTTTTGCTGTTACACTATAAGAATAGTTTTTATATTCTGGACATTAATATATCACACATATTGTTTACATTTACCCATTTTGGGAGTCATCATTTCGTTGGCTTGCTATGGTCTTTTGGTATACAGAAGATGTATATTTTGATCTAGTCCATTCCAGGCTTCTATTTTCTCTTCTGTCTTCTGTGTCTTTGCTGTTATATCCAAGGAACCGATCGCCAAGCCTGGCGTCATCAGGATTTCCCACCATGTGTTCTTTCAGGGGTTTTAGGGCTTCTGCCTGGAGCTCGCCTCCCTTCTCCCGAGGAGAGACGGGCAAGCACGTCTACAAATGAGATATAAGAACTTCCAGACTATGATTCCTGGTGGGATGGGATGCCTAAGTAATGAGATAGAGATCCTGTGCGGTTCATGTGGAGGGAACTCCAGCGAGGGCAGTCAAGTGTCTTTCATGACATGGCAGCCCAGACATGGCAGCTAGGGAAAGAAGGGATGAGGAGAAGGCTGAAATGTAAACGGGGTAGTGGATCTGGGTGTGGTGGTGCACACCTGTAATCCCAGCACGTGGGAAGTAGGGGCAGAAGGATCAGTAGTACAAGCCTCTGCTAAAGAGGGACTTTAAAGGCAGTCTGAACTACATAAGACCCTGTCTCAAGCAAACAAATAGGGTAAGTGAGCCAGTGTGTGTTGGGGGGCGGGATAAGTGAGTCAGTGGGGCGGGATAGAGAGGAGGAGTGAGACAATGGTGACGAGTGAGCCAGTGGAGAGGGAGGGAGAGAGGGAGCTAGTGGGGGGGGGCAGTGGGGGAGGATGAGCTAATTGCAGGGAGAGCCAATGAGAGAGGGAAGGTTGAAAGACAGGGCCAGATTGAGGAGGCATCACACTTCATGATTTTTTTTCTGAGACTGTTTCTCATGTATGCCAAGATGGTCTCAGATTTGATAGGTAGCTGAGGGTGGCCTTGAATTTCTAACACACCTGCCTCTTATCCCCTGAGTTCTAAATTAGCGGTGGGAGCCACCAAACCATACCTAGTTTTTGTTGCGCTGGAGACAGAATCTGGGGGTTCTCACATGCTAGGCAAGCACTCTACGAGCTGAGCTGTATGGCAACCCCGTGATTTTGTTCTGATCCCAAAGGGACGTTTATCCAGAACTTGTAAACCCAGGGCTCTGCTGAGGCAAAAGGAGAGCTGGCGACTGTCAAGAGAACAGCCTCTAGGGGGCGATAGTGGAGCAAAAATGGAAAAGGCCCATTGCAGGTCCTGGTCTTGGTGGTGCCTCAGAGAGGACTGACTTGCAAGGAGATGTGATCCATCTTGAAGGTGGCTCTGGCAGATTGCAGATCAAGGGATCCTGCGCACAAATGTATCCTGAGATTTTTCCTTGTTGTTGACTGAGCTACTCACTGAGTGTCGTTTCTGAACTGAGGAAAATGGGAGAGCTGGGCAGAGTCTGCAGTCTGTCTTGTAGGTGGGTGCCTGTCAGATGCCAGTATCTTCTCTTCCCACCATCTTCAGTAACTCGGCAACTAACCGTTGGTAATACATTTGCTGTGTGTTGAGCACTGTGTTGGGTACCACGTCAGAGCACTAAACACAGCCTTTGTCTCCCCCACCCCACCCCGTGCTTGCCTGCTCACAGGTTACATCCAAACACCTGCTTATCACCAGAAAATAGGCCCAAAGGCCCATGACGATGGGGCCTGTGTGATGTAGTGTATGTTCATTTCATCTGGATAGCAGATAGCCGTCTTTTGTTAGTCCCTTGTCCCAGAAGGATCATGGAGAGAACATATAGCCATAGGCTGTTAACATCACCAACTCCACCCATAAGCTGATTGGGAAAAATAAATATAAAACTTTGGTTAATAAGGGGAAAAACAGATTCCTTGTGGCACATAGCCTAAAGGGTCATTTCCACAGAAAATACTTTCGGGTGTGTCTTAACACAAGCTGTGAAGGAAGTGGTCTTGAGCTGAGGACCAGCAGTTACATTTTTCTTAGCAGCACCGCTGTTACCAGGGACAAGACTGTCTGTCTGGGGACAGCTGGCAGAGGCCATTGGCAGGTCCGGTCTGATGGGTGGGCAGGATGGTTTGTTTCTGTACATGTGGGCAGAAGGCAGACTGACAGCTTTCCAAAGCCTCATGAGAAAGAAGTAGGTTCTTGAGAAACCCGAGCTGGGAATGGGCCCAAATCATTCAAGGAATATGGCTTGGGACCTGGGGTGGGGAGTTTTTTTGCTCATCATTCGTTTGTTTGTTTTTAGCCAAACGCTCTCTATATAGCTCAGGCTGGCCTTGAATTCGTGACTGCCTCTCAAGTGCTAGATTACATCAATCTGTTTCTATGGGATATTTAAAATATCTCGTCACTGTTTCTAATGACCAAGCTAATTTCCGTGAGCACATAGCACTGACGCTGTCACTTCCAAGCCCCAGATAACGCCTTCTGTTTCCTGTCTCAGGAAAGGGTCACCAAGCTCGCGCCCCGTGCCCAGTCAGAAGAGGACTTGTCTGCCTTGTTTGAAGCATCCATGAAACTGTACTAGTTACCACGTCAGGGAAATGACCACCACCGCGAACAGCAGAAGTGGGCCGGGCCCACCTTTGTCGTTATCTCCACACTTAATTCACCTGCTGCCGGTTTGAATGGGACGTGACTTTATCCTTCAGGAGACTCCTCGATGTGCATTATGTAAAACCCGTGGGCCACACCCCAGGGGTCAGTGTTCCTAAACCAAACCCTGCTGAACACGCTGACTCTCAGTCCATGTGCCAAATGGACAGAAACTGTCTATCAAACATACAAATATACTATGTCCAGACACTGCAAGTCTAGAAATTTATTCTGAAAAAAGTACTAACATTAGTGTGCAAAAGAAAGAATATCAAGGATGAGAGTACTTTTTTGGGTAATAAAAATTAAAACAATCTAAACATTCCTTTATACATACTAATATGGTAAATGGCAGAAGATTATGGTATTATTAATAAAGATGAAATAAATCTCTTGGAAATATGTGTCTGTTTCATACAAGATGTTGGCAGTAGACAAGTGGCAAAAATTATATATTAGTATGACTTACTTTTTCACCTATATATACGTGTGTCTATATAAAGAAAAAAAGATAGGCACCATAATATTAAAAGATACCATTGGAAAAATGAAATTGGGGCTATAGAAAATTATGAGAAAACGTGGACTTAATGTTTTATGCTTTCAGTTTTTACAGCTCTTGGGTTCAAATCTCCACTCCCCAGCATCCATGTAACTGGCCGTCACAGCTTCGTACAACTCAGGTGGCAGGTGGAGGCGAGCAGATGCCCAGGGCCACTGACGAGCCAGTCCCGGTTCACTAAGGGACCCCGTCTCAAAAAAACAGGGTGGAGAACAAAACGAAGGCACCGAGTGTCAACCTTTGTCTTCCACATACAAATATACACATGTACAGTGAGCGGCTACACACATGTGCACCCACATACATCACACACACAAAGAGGAGGAAGGGCTAAGGGTATAACTCAGTGGTAGAGTGCATGCTTAGCACATGACATGTATACACACACGTGCACACACACACACACACAATGATAATTCCTATAAAACACTCAAGAACTTTATACCCAGTATCCAAAGATAAGCATAAGAAGATACCAACAAAATGCCAGCTCCATCTTGTCGGCCATGTCTAGTTAAAGTACAGAAAGTGAATAACGGAGGAAGAGTAGAAGCCATTGAGGCAGAGGATGGGTCAGCTTTGCCAATCTGAGTCATATTCCGTAGAATTTGTCAATTAATGAAAATGCATTTAGCATAGCAAGAGGTGGGAATTCTCCCTTTGCCGCCACCACCAACCTTTAAAAATGCCCAAATAGGTCAGGTCAGAGAACTCTTACAACACATTGTTCCTCTGTGGCCTTAGGCGGTTGGTTCCAGGACTCCATGCAGATACTGAAATCTATGAGTGCCTAATACCTTCATACACTAAAGATGGCACCTCCATATGTGCGCACACCCATGCATACACACACACACACACACACACACACACACACACACACACACATCTATGGCCACATCTCCATGGAGCCTATGAACATCCTTCTAGCGCCTTATGTCACTTTGAGATTCCTTCTAACACGAAGTAACAGAGTCATCGCTTGCTGAGCTGTCCTGTGAAGGAATGACAAGGGAAAGAAGTCTGCACGTGTTATCAGGGGTCTAACTTCACAAGAGTCCGGACAGGCAATGCTAGCCGGTGCTGGAGACGGGGGAGCTGTGCAGCGACAGGAGGCTCCAGCAAGGTGTGGCCGCACAGTGCCCACACACAGCACAGTGTGCAGTGCACAGCTGACTCGGGTTTGGTCCCTGGAACTTGGTGAAATCCTTTCCTTCAGTGTTTTCAGTCTGGGGTTGATTGACTCACAGACGAAGTGCCCGCAGGGAGTGTCTCTTCTGTAATGCTCT